CAATCACGGGCGTGTGTTCTGCTCCTGGGCTTTGCAGAGCAGGGCTCTGTGGCTGGAATGCCAATGGGAGAGCCACTGATACCATCTCGTGGCACAGGCAGCCTCCCCTAGGTACCTGTCTCCATGGTGCGTCCCAGGCTTCTCAGGCGGGAAATCAAAGATGGGAATTGCAGCTGAACAAGGACTGGAATTTGGGCTGGAGCCCAAAGATGTGGCCCCTGTTGGTTTGCTGTAGCTGCCCTTGGTGGAGGCAGGAGGTTCAGGTGCCCAGTCCCTGCTTGGCACTGCTGGGGGTTGTGGCTGGCAGGCACCAGCTGGGATTCTGCTCAGGCTCCCTGTCTGTGAGCTGGAAATATGCCTGCAAATATGCCTGCAAATCCTGGCCAGGGGCCTCTCCTGCTGCTGGTCCATGGTGCCTGCATGCTGCACATGCCTTTATGAGACTGAGTTTTCATGGAAGTTTTGCTGAAAGCACTGCTTCAAAGCTACTGTGAAATGCTCTGCACATGTATTTGTATATGTATATGTATGTATATGTATATGTACTTATACACACCCTCACATTCTTTTTTGGCCAGGCCCTGCTTTCCAAGAGCTGCATTTGCTCTAAAGTTTTTCAGATGCTGCATGTGTGCCACCTCTGACTTCAGGGGCAGGTGACAGGAGTTGGAAAGCTTCTGTGTCACTGCCTTGCTCTGTCATGTTTTGTTTCAGAAATTGAGCTCTGATTGCATTCATTTGGCTCACACTAATTGATCCTGATGGGAGCAGGTTGTGAAGGATCATGGATTAGCTCCTCAATTTGCTGCCCTTGGGAGGTGAAGGTTGGGATTTACCTGCCAGTAAATAGAGGAGCTGGTTAAGTGTTAGATGGGAAGAAATGCAACCCTCCTCCAGCTGGCTTTGGATCCTAGGATTTTTTGAGGGTCAATCTGTTTTCCAGTACATTACTATTAATGGTTTCAACATCAATTCTGCTTTCCCACCAGCATTTAGGATGGAATTTCCAGATGGGTAATCTTAGCTGCTGGCCACTCATCCCTTCTCCATGGCCACAGGCTACCAAACAAGCCTTGTGACCCACACCATGGGTCCTGTGGCAAGTGGCCATCCCACTTTTTGAAACCCTTTAAAACTCTTTAAAAGAATGCTTTAAATACAACCACATTTTACCTATTGGCTTCAGGAAAGTGAAAAGGAGAGGCTTTTGTTAGGTTATTAAGCAGTTCTTGGCTGATAGTTCTTGGCCCCAGCACGGGCTCCTGGCCTCCAGGTCCCTGTGCTCATGTTCTCTTCCTGCTTCTCTGAAAGTTTTATGTCGGGACAAGCTGCAGCTAGTCATGTTGGCAAAAACTACTCCTCCTTGACCCTGGTTCCTCCTAGTCCTGGATTCAAGTGTTTGCTCCCTGCAGCCAAAGTGTTTGCATCCTCCTGAAAGCAGGAGATTGGGATGCATCAGCAGGACAGGAAAATGCTCTTTATTCCTCTGCTTCATAGCAGGGCTGGAAAAAAAATAGTGGGCAGCTGTGGTTTTAGCTGACAGCTGAAAGGGGCTTTGCTAGGAAAAGTCCCCAGGGAAGACCGGGAGGCTGCTGACAAAAGTCAGGAAGGGGCTCTCTCTGCAGATTAAAAAGCAGAGGAATTATAAATAACATGCTGAAGTGCACAGATAAAGTTACCCAAGTTATTTTGGCCATAAAGCCCAGGACAGTAAAGGCCCTTAATCTCTCATTAATCAACAAGAAGCTGGAAGAGGCCGTACAATGAGCTCAGCTGCCAAAGCTGCTGTGCCCTTTTGCTCCATTTAATTTAATTGTATTAGTCCTGCCCGCAGCCTTTGTTCTTCTGCCCTGCTCAGGAAATCTGCTGCTGGTTTGGCAGGGCTCACACTGGTTCCACATGGCTGGTTTGTGGACAGCCAGGAGGGAGGAGAAGGAGAGCAGCAAGGGGAAGAGGATGGGAAAAGGTCCCACGGGAGCAACCTGCTTGATGTACTTCATTTATCTTAACAGTGCCACTGCATCCCTTCCTGGTGAGGCTTCCTCCTGGTAAGCCAAACACAAAACTGAATGCAAAAGCACTCTGGCTGATATCAGCAGAAATGTTGGGATGTTTAAATTTTAAAATAAAAAAAAAAACAGACAAGTGACCACGAGCCAGCTCTTGTTCAGCAGGTGCTACCCACCCAGCAAAGCATTCCTACCACCACCTCCCTTGGTTCCACCTCATCTCTCTTAAATGAGCCAACAAACACATGCAAAAGGTGGTTTCCAGGACACAGGTGAGTTTTGTCAAATTTCAGCATTTGTCCCTGCTGAAGGATGAGCTAGGAGAGCAGCTCACTGGAGGGTGTACTTTCCTCACCATTCCGTCAAGGAATGACAGTGCTTAATGGAAAAAGATGGAGCAGTTAGAGAGAGATGTGCTCAGGAAAAGGGATTTTCAGATGACTGTGCTTCTGGCTTGTGTGGGAAACACAGTTTTGAGCTCCATATTTTAATGGATTTCTCTGATTTCAGCAACCAGCCCTATAAAATTTCACAAATTTGTTATATCAAGACCAAGTTTTCCCAAACATGTAAATTGTCGTCAAGGTTCTCCTCTACCTTTCACAGCAGTGAATTAACAGTCCTTTGCTTGCAGTGAAGTAAGCACAGGGCATTGTTTGCTTATGGTTTTACAGAGTGATCCTTCTGTCATTGTTTACTGTAATTCTTCTTGGATGTGAAGAGTAAAACATATTTACATTGGTATGTGGGATTCTGGACAACCTCAGGAAAAAGTAGAGCTGGAAAGGAAGTTCTTCTGGCTGATGAAAACTTGAGATGTGTTTTTTATATATCAGAATGAAAGCTTGAAATAGAGAAATTCCCAGAAAAAAAAAACAACCAGACAACCAAAAAAAAAAAAAAAAATTATCACAGCCTCCCACACACATATAGCCAGCTGCAGCTATTATTTTGGTTATTTTATCCTTTTTATTTTCTTAGTAAATTTACTTTATGTTGCAATGCAAAGTAGAAATTCTGGATGTCTTGGATAAAAAATTTTTGTCCACAAATTTGATTTCAGTAGTTTGGGAACTGCTTGGCATATAATTTTAATTTAGCAAGTGGCAATCTGCTGCACTAAAAATGAAAAGTAATGATCCAGTAAATGACTAATTTTGTGATCTGAGTTAATTAGTGAAGCAGCTTGGTGGATGGAAGGCAGCAGGTCTAAATTACCGTGCTAAGTCCTTTTGTAGAAAGATATTATCTGGCTTTGTTGTTTTAATAATAATTAATGAGAATTAAAATATTCAGCTGGGATTCTGCTGTTACTGTTAGCAGGAATATGTGTGTGTGTGTGTATAATATGTATATTTATATTTGTTCTCTGATGATTTTATTGCTTGTTTGCATCTCAATCCTTGACTGTCTTGCTCTGTGGCTTAAATAATACTCCAGAAATTATTCAGACTGCACCTTTGTCTAGCATGGAGGAAACTTGAGGCTTTTACAATTGGTACTGCTGGTTATTTAATGAAAAACATGCACCATAGCCTGGCAAGGAAATCAGCAGTAAAAAAACAGGCAATAAGCAGTGTCTTATCAGCAGGATCACAGGGAGCATCTGCTGGGGGCCCACAGATCACTTTTACATCTTATATGTGGCAGCACAGGTTGCTGGCAATGCAGGGATGGCACACTCACCTCCAAGGCTGCATGGATCTGCAAAACTTCAAAGCCTTCTCTGCTGAAATCCAGGCATTACTTTGCTGAAGTCCAAAAAGCTTAAATTTGGATGCCTCCAAGGCACCCTGGTGGTCACTTTGTCTTGTGCCCTACATGACATCAATGTTTGGTGCTTCTGCTGGGCATTTCCACACCAAACCTGCTTGCTGTGGTTGGTTTCAAGCACATGTTTTAGGAAAACCTACAACTAACTGGGTTCTCATGATGGGGGAGACTTTTAATGAGCTGGTTTAGTGGATAATTGCTCTCAGTGTTAAAACAAACTTCTCTCTTTGTTTTCAGCTTGACTTCTCTCAGTTTCAGTCTTCCAGGCCTGGACTTTGCTCTACTGTGTTTGTTAACATTAAAGTCCCTTAGACTGTGGAATCTTCCCACATACCCTGAAACACTAGGAAGAGTAATTTCCTAATCTTCTCTTTTAAGAGGGCAGTGATAACTGGGGACTAATTACTGGCTCTATTGACTTTTTAATGTTTGTGTTTTTTAGATAAGTTGTAATTGTTCCTTTTTATCATTGTACAACTATAGTTAATAATTGCTGTCCACTGTGTCTACATCCAAGGATGTGGCCCCACTTCTGTTAAAGATTCAATGTTTGGGGCTCTCAGAGATAGCTGAACTTGGTTTAGTCATTGGTATTGGTTTGGTTTGTGGCACCTTTGGAGAAAAATAAGTGCATCAGTCAAAATGCTGTTTGCCTTCTCAGAAGGTTTTTTAGTAATGTTTTTATTTTTAATGTCTCCTTTTCAAATGGTATCATCTCCCTGGTGGGTTTAGTTCTGCGTGTAGGCCGTATTCTACATCCTTGATCATCCTGAGTACTTTCCTTAAGTTAATTTTATTTCACTGAGAAATTTCAAGGAATGAGATGAGACTTAGACTAATGAATTTGGGGATTAGACAAGGATTAGGTGGATTCTAACAGGCAGATGCTGTGCTTTCTGTGGGAAGATTTCTAAGCTTCATTAAACCAGAAAAGCTCTTTTCCCCTGACACTTGGAGATTTAAAAGCATTGTATTATACCCTGTTATGAATAAAATGATAAACCATCTTGATAAAAATTTCAGCATCTTTTGGTGAAATTTCAAACGGTGGTCATATCCAAACCCTCCATGAAAGGATGTGAGTTCTTTTAATGCCTTATGTAGTGTGACTTGAAAGGGAAACTGTTCCTCATCCAAATGCCCAAGCCTTTGCAGGATGAAGGTATAAACACCTTGTTGATGGTATTTATCCATTATCTCTATTTTTTCTGTTTGCAGTGTTTATGTTCCTACATATGTTGGGCTGGTGGGAAGTCTCATCAACACCCTGATAGCAGTGCTTTGGATCCCTTCTCAGACTAAACCAAAGTCAGACCATCACAGGACAGAGCACAGTGAGTATTTTGTGTTTCTGAAAAACAGTACATGAAAAAGGGCAGGGGATTGACATGCTGCAAGAACTGCTGAAGGACTTTGGAATTGATTTAAGGGCAAAAAGGTCCCAGCCTTGAGATGCTGATGCTTCAATGTCTAAGCTGAGCTTATGGAAGAGGATTATTCCAAATATATTGATCACTCTTCCATGTAGAATTGCAGTCTTCCAGTCTCAGAAAAGGTGATTGTGGAGCTCCTGCTGGGATTAGTTTTGTCTGACAGGGGAGGAAACCCCACTGTCTCAGAGGATTCCTCTACATGCAGACCTGGCACCAGATCCCAACCTCCTGCCACCGGCACAAAGCTGGTGCAGCAGAGATGTGGGTTTTGGGTGGTTTTGGGTGGGTTTTGAACCTGAGCAGAGTCTCAGAGTTTGCTGCTTTCTACCCTTAGCCTGTATAATCAGAATGTTAACCCATATGTCATCCTCTGCAGGCACATCACCGTCTGGCAGCTTGTTTAGCATCAGAGAAATCCTGCGCCTGATGAAGTTTCCAGGAGTGATGGAAGTTTTCATAGTCAAGGTGTTTGCTGGATTTCCCATAGGTAAATCTCACCCATTACCTATCATTGCTGATGCATTTAGAATAGGATTATGTACACTGTAGGCCAGGCTTGGCTCCAATTACTGAAAGCACATTGCTTTTGGTCACAGCAGTGAGGATTCACCTCCTAAGTTGATGCTGGGTGCTTTCAGGTAGTCTCAGCTACACCGGGTCAAAAGCCTGGGACTTAAATGTCCAACATGTTACTTGTCACAAGCTGCATCTGGGAGTTTTGGCAAATCACTTAATCTCTCCATCCCCCTCACTGCAAATGTTTTTTCCTCTTGTCTGTCATTTCTCTTTGTGCTGTAAGCTCTTCAGAGCAGAAAAAAATTGGTTTTCCTCTGCCAGAAAAACTGAGGTCCTTCCTGGTTTTACTTAGTGATTTTAAGGTGTATCCTAACCTTTTTCCCAGCAATTAAAAATTGCTGATGGATGAGAGGGCTGAGCTGCACACAGGGGACCCACAGCATGCGTCTTCCCTAGCACATTGATGGGGATGCTTGTTCATCTCTTCCTTATATATTCTGCTGGGGGGGTTTTGTGTCATGGTAGGAACTCACTGATCCTTCAATCCTTTCCCAAATTCATCTCATTCCCTGTTTCCTCTGAGTCAGCTGCTGTCCTGGCAGGGTTCATATCTCCCTATTTGCCTGACAATGTATCCCTGGGCACAATTTAATAATCTTCAGTTTTGCCTACCCTCTAACTTCTTTCTCCACACACTTGACTAGAGACAAGCTGCAAGTCATCCTCATCAGTGATGTGGAAGGACAGGGTGATGTTCTCTGCCCTTCCACAGACAAAGCCTTCACAGCTCTTTTCCCATTCAACCCCAAAAGTCCAGTTTCTCTTGAGGATGATTTCAAGAACTGAGTTTTGTGCACATCATAACACATGTGTATCATGCATCTGAACAAACTAAGGCACTTCCCTTCCAAACAGGGATCCTAAGAGGGGACTTAAGGCACCCTAGCTTTTAGACTTTGTATCTTTTTCCAATTCATTTTTGTCTGGAGAAGCCTTTGAAGTTTAAAGAACACAAAACTTGATTTACAAATTAAATGCTAATTTGTAAACTGTAAATTCAGTTTACAAATGAAAGTGAATTTGGTTGTGGAGTGTGGCTGAATTGGAAGGGGATGGCACTCCTGGGCTTGGTCAGGCTCATCTGTTATTTTTTGCTGTATCTCTGGGGGAATGAGTCCAACTGGAGCTGGAATTAAAGGATTTCTGGGTTTTTTTCCCTTGCTGTGTGTAGCTGGTACTGGCTGAGATCAGTAATGCCAGTTGGTCCTACCCCTGCCACTGGAGATAGGATGCAGTCTCAAACCACTGCTGGCTTGACCTAACAGTGCAATTTTTTTGTTCTTAATACAATAAACTTCTAAAACTGCACTCTAAGAAGTGTATGAAATGACAGCATTTCACAGAATGAGAAAGATGTTTTACAAGGGTTTTCTTAGCTGATTCTGACTCATTTCTCATCTTAGAGTAGCATTCATTTCTCTGTTAAAAATGCCTGAGACTGCATCCATGTGAGCTTCCCACAGTAATTTCCTGTGTGCTCTCTCTTTTCCAAAGGCCAGGCAAAATGCACTTTGCTTTAGACATTCCTGCTGAAATGCAAATTCCTGCCTGTTACAGAATCCATTCTCCTTTCCCCATGCAAAGCAAAAATACTCACTGAACCAAAATAAACATCTCCTGCCCAAAGCTGCACGGCAGTTTCTAGGCAAAGAGGATGGAGACAGTGAAGCTGGGATTTAAGGCAGGCACTGGGATTTCAGTCTGTCAGTATTTCTGTAAGGGTAGGAGAAGGTTCACTTGGGGCTATAGCACTCCCACTACAGTGAGGAGTAATTAAAATCATAGGAGTGATTAAAATCCTAGTGACTTTTCTTTGCAGGTCTCTCTTCACTTCAGGTCACTGACCAAACTGCTGGCAGCTGACAGGGGATCTGGCCATCCCTAATTCTCTGCAGCTCACAGCCAGAGGCTGAGCTCCTCATGAGCTCATTTACCTTTCATCCCCAGGCTGCAACTGTATAATTAATTAGATTGCCCAAATTACAGACTGTTTTCTATTTACTTTGTAAACAAGCTTGTGATATACAGCAAAGAAAATCTTTTGTTCCTTATGGATCTCATTGTTGTCTAAAATTAGCTGGTTTGAGACCGAAAGAACCTCCCTGGGAGGGCTGCAGGGCTGGGAACCTCCTCCCTGTGTTGCATAAAAGCAGAGACATGGGCTCTGTGCCTCTTGCAGGAAAGGAGCTGCCAGGGATTGGGAGGCAGCAGAGAGCTCCAGCACAGCCCAGTTACCTTCTCAGCTGACCTGGGAAAAGAGAGCCTCACTGCATTGGGGTAGATAGAGACAGAAAGAAAAACAAGGGGATAAAAATATCAAACATAAGTCTCATTGACAAGAAATCACCAGGGCCTTGAAAATATTGATAAATAGCTGCTTGTATGAATCTTTGGCTGCCTAATCCCTTTAGAAAATCTGGTTTCAGCATGATTGCTTTAGCACCTGCATTCCTTTTTTTAAAGGATTTTCTTTCACATGTGGAATGATGTTTTGCAGCGAGCCTTGGGGCTCTGCATCCCATCACATTTCCAGTGCAGTGTAGCAGGGCTGTGATGAGCTCCCAGAGGCTGTGCTTGCCTTCTTGCTGTAGGGACTGCTAAGCTGGCCCTCCAAAACTACAGGCTGCTTTCAAACATGTCACTTTTTTTTTTTAAAAAAGTTTACACTCCTGATTTTCCTCGGTGCTTTTTGTCACTGTTACTGCATCTCACAAACCATTTCCCTGCTTTCTGCTGCATGATCTTTGTTACTCATCCCACTGATGCCTGGTTTTCTAAGGAAAAAAGTCGTTTTCAGCCTTTTCATAGACATCCTCAAAAAAGGCAAGTTTTCTGAGGGTATTTTATGCCATTTGCCTTTTTTTTCCCCCCCACATTGAGTCTGTCAGCATGGACTGAGGCTTATCATTATTTATGTCCTGCACTCAGCTGACCTGCAGCCTACCCAGCTGAGAACCTGCTGAGATCTTTGTGGGAAATGCTTGTTCCAATGAACACAACCTATTTTTTTAGTTCAATCTAAGGCTTGCCTTGTGGGTTTCATCAAGAAATGTGTTACCAGTGGGAGAGACCACCTTAGTTTCTGAGAGAAGAGGGGCAAGGGGGTCTCCCTCCTCCAGGCAGCTTTAAGGGACCCTGCAGGCACAGGGGGTGACACCCATCTGAAAATGAGACCTTTGCACCTCCAGGGGAGCTGTGCAATGTATAATTCTAATTAAAGAGCACAGCCTATTCCCCTGCTCAGAAAGAAAGCAGCTTGTTTGGAGGAGAAAGATCCAAATCTGTCTTAACTTGATGAGGGACTTCAAAGGGGAGAGGAGCTGTAGAAGCTGGAGCACAGTACCAGGAAGAGGCATCAGGTATGCAGGGAGGCCAAGCCCCTCCTCGGTGGTACCTGCAGAGGGGTGCAGGATTGAGGGCGAGCTCCTGCTTCCATCTCATCTTCCTACAAGTGAAACCAAGTGTGGTTTTTCTTTCATTTCATCACGTGTGCCTTTTATAAACATGTGCAACCCTGTTGCCTGATTTGGCTGTTGTGAGTAAATACTGGAATTTGCATGTTACCTTAAGCTGGTTGAGCTGAGAGCAATTTCAAAGAAACTGGATAAGAATGGGGTGCTCTCCATGGAGGGGTGTGGTGAAGCCATAGATCTTCATGAGCCCCAGCTCCCAGGCACCTTCTCCACACAGCTGGAGAGCAGAAGAGCAGGGCTCCCTTCCTGCCCCCATCCCTCTCTCCCAACCCCATGGAGCCAGCTGGGGTGCAGCTACTCCTGTTAAGGGGGAGGACCTGTCTCTGGTGGGGCTCAGGAAGGCTTTGTGGCAGGTCCTGGGATGGGAGGGCAGTGCTCCCTCCAGGCAAAGGCTTGGGGTGCCTGGAGGCAGCTCCTTGTTGCTGCAGGTGCTGCACTGGTTGGGCTGCTGGAGGCAGTGGAGCTGTTCTTGTTCCTTAGGAAGCGAATCCTTCCAGCAGTCTGGGATCACCCTCTTCATCCTTCCAGGAAAAGCTGGCAAATCCTCCCCGTGCCATGTCACTTTGCCAACCACCAGCTGTCTTCTCAGTCCTCACACATTGCCTCCTGCATTCTGTTTTTTTCAGGAGGGAGAGCAACAAGGCTCCCTTTTAACCCAGTCTTTATAACTCAGAGAGTCTTACAAGGAAAGGCAGAACTGCTGAAAGTCATCTGGTCTCTTCTCTCCCAGAAGGATCAGTGGTCTCTGACAGACACATTGTGGGGTTCTTCACACGCAGAGAGCCCCAGTTTCCTCCTGTCTTGGTCCATCTCAGGTGCACAAGACACTGGGGGAAGCAGCAGACTCTTACCCCACACCACACTTGAAGTGCAGTGTTTTGACATCATATTTTTAATTTCATGGCTCTCTCTGTGAGGCTGGGAGCATGTGCAAGCACGCCTGTATTTGTGTGTGTTTGGCAGTGGGGAAAACACACACTATTGTATTTTCATTTGAGATTGAGTGGATGTTCTCTGTTACACTTTGCAGAAATTGCCTCAATTGCAAAGCAGACCTGGTCTGTGCTCTTTCTGCCCATACTTTCCTGACTGCTTGTGTTGACATTGCTATCATTGTCCTCACAAGAGATTTTCCACATGCCCCAGACATCGTTGCTGAGGTGTGCAGTGAAACCACTGCATTTTGGCTGATGTCACTGGGCTGCTCCCCACACTGAATATCTGAAGTCAGGCAAAAGGGGTGAGGAATCCAATCAGATTATTTTTATGGTTACAGTTTTGTCTGAACAAATGTTTTCTTGCTGTCTTGATGGTTAGCCTGGCTTCAGTGATACAAATATTTACCGGTTTATAATTAACAGCTGAAACTACGGCCTACATAGTCACATTACTTAAAGATGAAAGTAAGGGGGATAAAAAAGTTAACACTTAAAGATTAAATTACTACAATGACTTTGAATAGGATTATGTTCGTGCTTACACCCAGTGCTGGCAAACCCAGGGAGAGCTACTGACTTGGACTGGTGGTGATTGGGAGCAGGGTTTGGCTATTACATGCACTGCAAGTGTATTGATGTACTCTTTGCATTAACCCTCCCTCCAGGTTTGTTCATGATTATGTTTTCCATCATCTCTATGGATTTCTTTGGCTTGGAAGCAGTGGAGTCTGGATATCTGATGTCATATTTTGGTGTCCTTCAAATGGTAAGTGAAGTGCAAGTCCCTCTCTTAGACAGATTAGCTTGCCACACTGCTACCTAATTCACTACCTTCTGGACACATGCTCTTCCAAATCCAGGTGCATTATTGACAGGCAAATCCTAGCTCTGCCATATGGCATTTAGCTTCAAAAAGAGAAGTGACTCCAAATTTATTCTGTTCCTTGAAATGGGAAGAAATTGGAGCAAGGAGTGTCCTGAAAGCTTTCTTCCCCTTGTCCCTCTCTGTGGATCTTTAAGCTGTGGAGCTAAAACTTCCTTGGACTGATAAGTCCTGGGTTTTGTAACAAAACTTACATTGAAGCTAAAGTGCCTTGGCTGAGGTTTTTCCTGGTACAGGTTAGTTGATTTGCATTTATATAGTAGCACCCTGTATACTCAGGAAAGCAGACAACCTTACTGGTGTTTTCACTGAAGATCCCTTCAGTGTAGAAGAACTTGTTTCTGCTGCATGGAAACAAGCACAGCAAGCTTGTGATTCCCAAAAAAGAAAAAAAAAAAGAAAAAAAAACCCCAAAACCAAAGCACAGAAAGGTGGGTGACAGAACATGATTAGGAGGCTACCAAAATGGGTAAAAGGGAAAAGTCAGCTGAATTAGGCAGTACTAAGGGGTCAAAAATGTGCAGTGTTGTATTATAGCAGAGTGTTCCTTTTGGAGGAACAGGCTTAATAATTTTGTAGAAGGAGCAGCAGATGGTTATAACCAAGCCCCAAGGTAGGAATGCAAGTTAAGCAATATCCTGAAGGACAGTGGTCTTGTCATTAAATCCTCTTCATTTCCTGGGTATTGCCACAGAGTTCCTGTGGGAGCTTCTCATTTGGGGAATGGCAGCTCAAACTGCTTCCTTTGTGATTTGGATTTGGCATGGTGTTGCCAGTCACTGGGACTCTGGCCTGCTCTCACCAGATCTGGATATCTTGGTAGAGCAGTAGCCAGGCATGGCTGTGAATCAGCAGCTGAACTCTGCAGGGTAAACTGGAGCTGAGCAGATGGTGCCTTTGCCATGTCCCTCCTGTGGGGGTGGCTTTGGAATAGCTGTCTCTTGGTCCTGTGAACATCTCCAACCTGCTGAATGCAGTCCCATTTGGCCTCTTTGGGAAGAAGACCAGTTTGCCAGTGCACAGGCAAGCTTCTGACCCACACTCCACTGCTTTCAGAGGCTTTCCCTATGTTAGCCTTGTATGCTGCCTCCTAGACCAGGATCTGCAGGAATCACTCAGGTTTTAGAGGGGCCAAGTCACTGGCCCAAATCTTCTTCCCCATTTGAATGCAGAAGGACTCCCCACAGCTGGGCTTTTAACTCAAGACATGTCACTTAAACCCCTGTTACACAGGCAGAAATCAGATGTGGAGCTGCAGCACGGCTGTGGTGTGCTTGTTTGGAGTGGGTAATGTGGGCAGCAATTACTCTTGTAAGGAGTGGCTTTGTGTGGCTTGATGGAGCCTGGACTCTGCTGCTAGGCCCAGGATATCTGTCTTGAGGACACTGCTGTTATGTCTGGAATATCTCTGTGCCTTCAGTGCCATTGTTCCCCAGGTTAGTTTGGTTGAAACTGCTGCAGATAAGGTCACCTCCTCTGCCCTGCTGGGGCACCCCACACAGAGACACAGCCCTGGAAGATATGGGAATTACAGCATCCACTCTGCTTCCTCATGGATGGTCAGGTGCCAGGCTAACCAGGGACCTGACCCTTCCCAGAGTCACAGAGTTTCATCCCACAGAGGCCAATCACTCCTATTGCCACAATCCAACCCAGCAGGGCCCTGCAGGCTCAGGTGTAGCATCTGCTCTGCTGGGGAGTCTTTGCCTTGGGATGTTTGCCACAGAAACTGGCTTTTATCAGCCAGGCAGTTTTCTTTCATACATCCATGCAGTTTCTATCCATATTGCTAAGACCATCCTACAGTGGCAGTTCCAAACTCTACTCTGGTTTATGCAGGACAAGATCCTCAACTGGACTAAACTGAACCCTAGCTCTCTGGCTTTTAAAGTATTGTAAAACATTAGAATTCATGTCTTTACTTTCAGGTATCTGTCTAGAACCACCCAAAGAGATCTCTTGGGGATGGTGTCTGGGTTAATGTTTCATGGCTGCTTTCTGTTTGGGTTACAGGGAATAGAGGTGTGCTGGCTCTGTTCTGCTGAGCCTCAGAGCTGCTTCTGTTGCCCAAGCTGGCATTTCAGATGCATTTGTTTCTGCTGTACAGTGAATTGATACTGCTGAGATACAAATGCAGATTAGGGTGCAAGTGAATTCCACCAATCTGGATAGGTGAATGATTAATATCTGCTGACTGGCTTCCCCACTTCACTGAGTAAATGACAGCTTTATTCATGAGGAATATAATGTAATTTTCAGTCAATTTCATCAGCCAGATACTCAGCTTTGATTTTTATTTTACTCTTTAGTTTGCCTTTCTGTAAATCATTGTGAGGATTTTCCCATCCCCTTGGACTTGCCCTGAGCCCTTCTGTTAGAGGAAACCTGTCCCCCATGGCTGCATCTCTTCCTGGACTTGAAAAAGATAGTGTTTAAGGACGTTTACAGCTGGAAGGGGACATTAAAGAAATTAGAGGGGGAAATTATTTCTTTGTGTTATTGTAGTTTCTATTTTTTAAATTAAATATTCTCAAAGCTTACATATTCCTCTTACAGAAGGCAATGTTGCAGCTCCCTTTCCCAGTCTGATCAGCAATCCCAGGATGACTCAAATACTGATGGTGTCTTCCTGCCTTCCTCTCCCACCCCAAGGATATTATGCTCCAATTGCTTAATCTAGTTTTTCAGCTTCCCAACCTCATTTGACCTGCTGTGGTGAGAAGTGGCCAATGCACTGTAAGAATCTGTTTCTCCTCATTCCTCTCATTCAAGCCAGCTGCAGAGTACCTAGAGAGGAGATTTTGAGAGGCTTTGAGCCAGTCCACCTAATTTTAAGTAGGCAACTCAAATTCTTTGTCATTGTTATACCAAACAGCTCTTTGCATGGGGAATCAGCACGGAGACACAGACCCTTGAGGAGGTGAGGTGTTTGCTCTCTTTGCAGATGGAGGATGTCAGTTTAGACACCACCAATTCAGAAATCACTCAGGGATCCCATGCAGAGCTCCCCAGCCTCACCTCATCCTGTGGTGGGCATCATCCAGCAGCAGGGGACATGGGAAAGTGTGGGCAGGGTGAAGGGCAGTAAGGGTGGGACAGGGGCTCGTGTCTGGGTCAGGACACAGCCAGGCAAGGCCAGAAAAGGGGGGTGGGAAGGCAGTGAGACAGCATTGAGACAAGAAATGTCTGATGAGGAAACAGAGCTGTGGCTTAGAAAATGGAATATGACTGAGGCTGGAATGGACTGCTGGGGAAATGAAAGTAGCACATGGGGGTGATTCAAGCAATCCAGGTCTCTGCAGTGATTCTTGAAGCACCCTGAAAGTGTGGGGCTGTCTGATGAGCTGGGACTGTGCCAGGTGAAAAGAAGTCGTGTGGGAGATGATAATGAAATGAGGAGAGGAGGGCAGACAGCTGGAGAGCTGCCTCTGCACCAGCTGCCTCTGCACCACTGCAGAGATTCCCTTGCTCATGATGTGCTTGAAGCATCTTTATCTGATCACTGGTAGGTCTCCAGGCAAGAGTTATGAGAGCCCGTCAGGGACACAATCCCTCTGTCCTCCAGGGCTGGGCTTCCAGAGCCCTCTCATCTGAGCAGCCATGTAAATGAGATTTCCCTCAGAGTGAATGCCTGGCAGTGTGAAATGCCATTCCATCTCCCTCCAGAGAATAATTCATTTCATAATGGTTTAAAATAATTTCATTTTGAGTAATGGGAAGAAATGAACCTAGACTTTTTTTTTTTTTGAGTTTGCAAATGTGATGATAGCATGGACACCTTCCAGGTGTAGTATGTGGCTTGGAAAATGCTGCTGGAGGATTAAGCAAGTGAAATACCTGGAGTCCCCAGTTGATATCTGAAGTCACATCTGATGCTTAGATTTCAAACCATGGGAGGGAGTGGGTGAAACTTTCCTTTAAGAACTTTTTCTCTAAAAAAAACCAACCCAAAGCAAAATGCACCAAACAAAACTCTGGGTGGGACAAAGGGGCAGATATTTATAACCCTGAGGATTGAGAAATCATAAGACATCTGTTCTGTTTACTGCATTTAAATTTGTATTGTTATACAAACTCCACCTCTAGCTGTGCAGCTTCTGGAGGGACAAGTTGGTACGGAGTGATCCTGAAAAGATGAGAGAGATTCCTGGAGGAGAGATTTACATTGCGTATCATCTTATCACCAGTCTGTCCCTCTTGCTTTTTTTTTTCTCCCTACACAGCAAAAGAGATGATTAAAGAGCCGGGGATTTAATTACAGCCAGGTACGCCTGGGGGGAAAACCCACTTAGTGAAAGGACCTTGCAACAACAAACAGAAAGTTCTCCAGTTTCCTCGCTTTGAAGGATTTATATCTGTGCAGGGGGGTGGGTTGGAGGGGGAAAGAAAGCGATTAGGCTGGAGTTTGCAAAACACACCATCCTCTTCCCCCTGCTTGGCAAAGTGCTGCCTTCAGCAGTTTGGTCCTCCCCATCATCCCTCCTTCCAGTCCCATCTCCCTCCTGCTCCTCCACAAGGCCTGAACGACTCAAGCGATTTCTGGCATGGCTGTGTCAGTAAAAGAGCTCCCTTTTCCCCAGCATGGGCTTTGCAGCCCATTCAGCCCCTGGACCGTGCTGACCCCAAACCCTGCCCCAGCAGGTCCCTCCCCAGCCGGGCTGGCCTGGGAACTGCCAGCCGGCACAATTTCAAAGGCGAGATACGGGTCCAGGGCGTGGGAGGCAGCTTCTGATGTGAATCATGCTATCTGTGCAGGGATGGGGCCTGCATCTCCTCTGCAAGGCTGTACCAGCTTATCTGGCCTGCTGTGTCTGCCTCTCCGACCTTCTCACAGCTTTCCAGTTCCAAGCTGGCAGGTGAACGGGGACCGATTTTGTTGCTGGGCTCTGTCAGGCTTTGAATTGGTGCTGATGGAGGAATCTTTAGCAACAATCCCACAACCGCTGAGCTCAGAGGAGCAGCTGAGCATCTGCACAGCTCCTCTGACCTCCACAGGTGAGGTCAGCTTCTTGCAGGTGCCAGCCAGCTCAGCAGCAGCCCTGTGCAGCAAGGCTGGTGCTTCAAAAGTCTTCCATAAAGCTAGCACCTTGGACTTCCAAATACAATCTTTTCCATCCTGCAAGAAGGGGTTCCTGAAATTTGTTAGAGGTTAACAGTCAAATGGGTACTTGGCCTTTCTGAGCAAAGAGGAGCAGCTGTTTTCCCAGAAACCAAACACAGTGATAGAGGCAAGAGGGTATTTTTCCATGTGATTTGCTGGACTAGTGTAACAAATCCCCAGCTTGCTGAATGCAGAAAATTATGAACAGAGATTTGGCTGTTCTTATGCATTTATTGGGAGACTTATTTGCCTTTAAAGAAGGAGAGGGGGGCGGAAAAAAAGATGAGTTGGTTTTTCCTGTGACATATGTACACAGCCACAGGCAGTGCCTGTTATTTCACTTGCAAACAATTTCCTCTCTCTTTTGTTTATTGATGGCAGAAGGCATTCCAGCCAGGTACACTGGCTCTTCCCCGACTTCAAAGGAGGTCAGGTTACAAAGGCAAGCACCATCCAGGCAAAATTAAATGCAGGAGGGTAAGGCCCATTGCAGTTGATCTCAAGCGGAATTTATGTGTAAGGAAAAAGCCCAGAACACACCAGTAAGAATAAAAATAAGGATAAATTCCCTTTATCAGCTACCAGAGCTTGTCCATAGGAGTGGTGATGGCCAAGTCACCTGGAATGTCCCTGCTATGTTCTGGTAAACCAGCAGCATATGTCCAAAATCTTACATGGGAGAGTGCACATGAGCCACCTTTCACCTCCTGCTCATGCCAGCCCAGGAGCTCTGCACTCAGGGAAAATTTCAGGCTGGAAGTAATGGGTTTTCAGGTCTAAATTCAGACTGGAAAGTGAGGCCAGACTTACTGGTTACTGGAAATATTATCTAGTGCCTAAGTCAAGGCTCTGTGTCCAGAATCAGGGTGATGGGCCTTGTCTGCCTGGGCCTCATGGCTGGATCAGCAGTGCCCTTGCTGGGGAGGAAGGCAGGCAGGCAGACAGCCCATGGGGGGACTGCCATCTGTGCAACCTAAGGATTGCTGCCCAGCCCCAAGGGGAAAGCATGTGACTTGGGCTCATTCTTGTCCTTGGAAATAGTCCCCTTGCCAAGCTGGTTGATTCAGCAGGGATGTTTTACCTTGAGCTTTTCATTGCCACAGTCCAAGTGGTGGGAAAGCCCATGGGGGATGCCAGCATTGGCACGAGGACCATCTCTCTGCTCTGCTGACTCTGAGGACAGCTCATCCTGCACATCCCCAGCTCCTGCCTGCTCAGAGCCTGTCTCTGCTGCAGTGCTGCTTGTGGCCTTCCCACAGGGGCTCGTGTGCAGTGATGGCAGTGGTTTTGGGAATGCCACTCCCATGGCCACCAGACCAGGGACGTTGCTGATGCTATACCCTAATGACTCAAGGAAGGGCAGGGACTGGGCTGTGCCTGCATGGTGTATCCCAATAAAATATGCCATTCAAGTCTGGGCAAATTGGGAAATGTTTCCTTTCCTCCAATGGCTCAGCAGAGCTCAACTGGGGCTTGGGTGATGCCACCCTTGAGTCAATCCGTGCCCTGTGACAAGGCTCAGCCCCCATCCCATGTGACTCAGCACAGCCCCAGCTGTAGGAGGGACTGGGAAGTTGCAAAAAGTTAATGATGATTCTCCCTTTTTGGAGCACTCAGCTTAATGGAGCGTCACTCAGTGGTTTCCCCACCCACCCTGGGAGTAGGAGCTGCTGGGGCTGGTATCAGCCTCCTCATGGCAGAGCTTTTGGTCAGGATGATTCAGGTCACCCTAGGCACTGTCCAGGCCTCGTGCCACAGCAGGCCCTCCTGTCCCAGAGGCTGCTTGACAGGTGCCATGACCCAGGAAGGACACAGAGCCGTGCCAGTGGCACGTGGCAGCTGGGCACACGTGAGCCAAGCTCTCGAGCCCTGGCCAAAGGCAGGGACAATGACAAAAAAGGAGCCAGAATGTCTTCTTGGTGTGATGTGCCCTCGTGTCAAAAATCCTTTGTGCTCTGAAGCAAAGTGAAGGGTTGAATTTTGATAGTTTTCCATTCAGTTGTATGCTGTTGGAAATTCATTTTGTAGCTATTGTTCTTTATGTCAACTTTATCTTCACTGTATTGCTATTTGCCTTTATTTTTAGCTGGTTATTCTAGATTAACATATTCTTTTTGTTTAATAACTTACTTTCTCATTTATTTTGCACTCATTTCCTTTCAGCTGACTTTGGATTTCTGCCTAAGGACTAACAAAACAAGGCTGAGCATAGTGTAGTGTCATTCCTGGTCCAAACAGACCACTGAAGTTTTCTCCAGGTTGCACTGCCACAGAAATAAAGTGAAACAAAGCATTTTGAACTAGAGCTTTCCTTTCAAGTCAGAGGGGTTTTCATTTGGATCAAACAAAGCCTTTCAAGGCAGGGGAAACTCAGTAGATCCCTATCAGTCCCTTCCCTGTATTGTAGTCAGACTGTTTAATCATGATCTCTTCCAGCCTCTCTCCTCTCATGTCCACTTGGGCCAGGATCACCTGAAGTATGGGAGATGCTGAACAGATAAATAAAAGAGGGAATCCGTGCTCTGCAAAGTGCTGGAAAAGTTAAATAATTTCTGGGATTTTAATATTTTGCTCTTCCTTCCCTCTCCCTTCCCCCCAGTTTTTGTTTAAAATCTGTAGAACCAGTTCCCATCCTTTACATCTGCGTGTACTCCTGGGACTGGATATTAGCATCTCCGTCATACTTGTTTCCTGCCTAAAAATTATGAACCACCCAATTTGTATATTTATAGTTTAAAATAATGGCAAGAGAAGGTACAGACATTTTCCTCCTTTGCTCACAAACATGCAGTTTTTCTTTGAGAGGAGCTGCCAGGAATGAAGACCGTAACATTGACTGTATTTCACAAACACATCACAAGTTGTATCTGCAAGCCTTTTTAGAAAGTTTCAGTCACTGCTGCTGAGTAGGCAGTGATGGTAAACTCAGGCATGCACCCTGAGTAGAACTTCCATCTGATGGGATGGATCTCTCTCTAGAAAGCAAAGCACTTGAAATAATGGATCACACCTTCCTGTCATTTACTGTGGCAGTGAGGCCCTTCTTTGTCAAAGAAACCCTGATGGAAGAACCTGTTTGCTTGAAGAAAGTAGCAATTCTCTTTTGAGTTTGTTTAAATTATTATGTTGTATCAGGTTTAATGGTGCTTATGTGTTTCTTTGCCAGGTTGTCCAGGGTTTGGTGGTTGGGAAACTCGCCAGTCGCTGCTCAGAGATGACCCTGCTCAGACTCAGCGTCTTCGTCTTCGCTTGCGTGGGCCTGGGCATGGTAAGTGGGGTGGGAAGTCACCCACAATGCCTTTAATGCCTTTAACAATGTCACAAGCAGTGACACAAGGTCTGTGAGACCTGGCTGCGAGCTCTGCCCCTGGAAATGCCACCTCTGGCTCTCTCAGGTGGTCTTCAGGGCAGGGAGAACCAGCTCTGCTGGGCCTCTGCGCAAACAGAGCCGCGCTCAACGTCAGCATTGCGCCAAGCCGTGATAAAGAGCCGTGTGAGTAATAGTTATGGGGATTAAAAACTGTATTAATCTTGCACTGAAACTCGCTACGTCCCTCCTGAGTCACCGGATTTGCACAGAAATCCTGGCCTGGTCTTGTCAGCAACTGCATTTCCTGGACTACCCAGAAAGTAAACGAAGATTACGGTGGAGAAAAATCATTGCAGTTGTGTATTGCAGTGAGACAGCAGAGGTTGTGCCCTCTCCTTCTGGGGCTTTATTTTTGTCTAATCCCCCAACATGAGAGCATTTGGGGAAGGAGGTAGCGAGGCAGTAATGTTGTTCCTCCATTTTGGGATAAGTGATGTTAGCTGTTGCTGGTTGTGTCCACACTGGTGATGGTTGATGCCAATCTCAAACAGTAATTGGAAAACTGAGTGGATGTAGGTAGCTGTGCTGGGAACTGTGTTTGCTCATATAAGCCATGCTCAGGGCACTGATAGCTCTTCCCAGCCCATGGGGATGGAGGGAAGGTGCTTGCAGTCCCTGTCAGTGCACTGGACCCAAAAGAAAATTGAGCTACATCAGCCTTTCAACATTCCCTGCAGGATTTGGCCTTGAGCCTTGCTGCCAGGACACTGGTGGTGCTCCCACTGCTGCAGGTAGGATGAGTGCCATTCCCACAACCATACCACAGCTGTGGGGAGGTCAGGGCCAAGTCCTGGAGGGTGTTGAGGTTTGTGGCTCCCAGCTACATGGATGACATGAGGCACCTACACACCTTAGCTAATCTGAGGCAAAATCGTGTCTGAGATGAGGCTGTGAAGGGAGGACGGGTGCAGACCAAGGCTTGGCTCTGCAGGTGGAGCGTGGTCCCTCTCCTTAAGGTTTTTGAGGCTCCAGAGGATTCTGTCAGGTGTAGAATGCTTGGGAAGGGTCTCTTCCAATTGGTGTCATGCTCTTTGGGCTGAAATCAATGTGCCCCATTAACATGGGACATCTGCACAGAGCTTTGATGCTCGTGAGCATGGCCTGGGAAGGACTTTGAAGGGTTCCCCATTGTGTTTTGGTCATGGGTGGAAGCAATTAGGCGGGACCAAGGTGGATACCATCTAGAGAGATGAGCATCCCCAGCCAGGTGCAGGGCAGGTGTTGCTGGGACTGAATCCCTGTGCTGAAGCCCAATTCCAAGGGAATCAGGCAGAGCAACAACATGAATTATATGGCTTTTATGCACTGAGGTGCCACTGACCTTCAGGGAAGGCTGGAGGCAGGTGGAGGTGGGAGAGAAAGCCTCGGTGGCAGTGGAGAGGCGCACGGGGCAGCACAGATGTCCCAGCGCCGGAAGGCTCACACTGGCTGCACAGGGAGTAGAACCAGGAGCCAGGAAGGGAAATCATCTTAGAGCTGCTAATTATGCCAAGCCCAGAGGGCTGTGGACATCCTAACAGCACGGGCCTGGGCACAAGGGTCAGCAGTGACTTCCCATGAGAGCTATTCATAGGCAAATGCAGCTGGGATGCCTTGTTAAAAAGCGCTCTGTCCAAGTGGCTGTCAAGAACACATCCGCTCTGGGGTGGCTTTCTGTCTCGGTGGGGATGAGGGCTGTCACAGCAGCAGCCCCAAATGCAGAACTTATTGGGTGAAGCTTTTAATCCTTCACAGCTGCTGGTGGAGGAGCGTCCCACCTGCTGTGCCCTTGGAGCATGTGGCCTCCACACGCTGCAGTTCCCCTCCCCAAAGGATGGAAGTGAGGAGAAAGATGAGCTGTTAATAAAGACACTCCAGAATCCACCCTGGTATCACAGGCAGGGGAGGTGGGCTGGGGCGTTTTTGGAAGGCTGGCACAAGCAGCAGCAGCAGACAGACAGTGCTGCAGCTGGGAAGAGGCTGCAGGATGTTCCCAGCAACAGGCAGCTGGAGAAGGGAAGGGGTGGGCTGGGAGTTCAGCAGTAACACCTGGATAAGGAGAGAAGGGAAGAACCGGTGTCTGATCTGCAGATGTGAGCTGGGAGAGCGTGGGCAGGGCTGTGGGAGGGCTTGGCAGTTGCGATGGGGAAGTTTTTCCCCTTGTCTGAAGGCATGGCTGTACCTCATCCTGCCTGCGTTTCCCAGGCATTTGTTTTTTGAGTTGTCTGCTGAGGCTCCTGATTCTGCCTCTCACCTAAAAATTGCTTTCAGATCTGCTCACCTCAAAAAAACTATTCACCACCCAGAGCTGAGGAGTAGCAAGGACTGGGCTCTGCCTGGCTCAGTTTTCCCTCAGCCCCTGGGAAGTGACGGGCCATTTCCCCTTGTTTTACAGGAGACACAAGATATGCCTCTGCTCTTTTCTGCTCACTTGCTCCAGCCCATGAGGGAGTCTGTACAAAGCAGGAGGGATTAAAACTGATTTTTTCTATGAGCTCCGCAATGTTGTCCTGCAATGACATTTGCCCTAGCAAGGAATTAGTCTCCTTCCTTTTGTTTATGTACCAAATACCTGCTCCTCTGTCTTTCTTCTCTGGTTCCTTAATCAGAAGTGCCTAGATCTTAAACAAAATGTAAGCAAAGAGCCCCTTTGAGGAGAAAAACCTGGCTGTGTGTAACTCTAGAGGGGAACTAGGAATAAACCTCAACATTTCCAAGTCATTAGTGAGCAATGTCTCTGGGCTCCTTCATCTTCTGTAGCCGACAGGCAGGGACCAGATTTTAGGACAGAGAACTCCAGAGAATGAAACTTCTGGCTAAACCAGTGACAGAAGTTTCCAGCCACAATAACACACCTTGAGACATGGGTTAGGGCAGAAGACTTGCAATAAAGGGGGAATTTCCTTTCCATGCCCCAGAGAAATCCATTCATTTGACCAGCAGGGCTTGTGAATGAACTGGGAGCCGCTCCAGCCCTACAGCTTAGGGAGCCTCACCGCTTTTGTTTCAGCATTAAACAGCTGGAGGGATGTCTCCGCTAAGAATATGTGCAATAACAAAATCATTACTCTCCCTAATTATGCTCACTAATGTGCACTCATGGCCAGAAGACCTATTCCAGATTACTGAATTTGGTGAATTTATTAGCAGGGAAGCAGAAGAACAGGATTAGAAATCCCAAAGGTACGGTGTTACATAATGCACCATGCTCATTTATTTTGACAGGCTCGGTTTAGTTTTAATTATTTATGATAATGAACCAAAAAGCCTTCTCTAGGCTGTTTTGTATAAGTAATGGAAGCTTCCTGAAGTACACCACATACATCTGCTGTTCAACATTTCCTCGGGAGTTGGACACAAGACAGAAGACAGGGGGAAGGGACGTCACTAATTCCCAGATGCTAAAAATACCCACAGCAGTGCCGGAGAAACGTGCTGCCAGATTGTAGGGTATCCTTTGCTCTGCATGCTTGGAATAATTCACTGCAGACAAATGGCAGGCTGTGAAAGACCCCACAATGGCCAAAGCCGCACTACCACGTATCATTTGTGGCTCCCACCATTTCCCTAAGTCATGGGTTTGACTCGTGATTTTCCTCCAGGTTGTTTCTCGCCACAAAGTCACTGTATGTGCTCTTTGATGATCTGTGGTCTGTTGTGTGCTGTCCCTTAGGCCCTGATGAGGACAGTGTGGCACTACTGCATCATTGCAGCGCCGCTGGTGTTTGCCTTCAGCATGCTGGCCACCATCACCGACAGCATCCTCACCAAGGCCGTGCCCCCCTCCGACACTGGTAAGACTCATCCATAAATGTCACATTGGTGTTTTCTCAGCTTTGAGTCCATTGGGCACTTCCCAGTTCCCACCACAGCTGTGGAGCACTGGGGTACCAGTGGGTGAGCACCCAGATCCGGGTGGGCACACGATGGGTGTTGGCAGAGCCGATGAACGAACGGGACTGGTGGGGCTAACACAGGATGGACTTGAACAGCCTTGGGCAGGTTGTTCTGTCCTGTGCTGCTTGCTGGCATCCACAGTGGTGGGCACAGAAAGAGAAGGCTTTCTCAAGCTCTCTTTTCCATGGAAAGCCAAGGTATGTTAAAAAAACCTGGAAAACACTGCTCTACCACTGTGACAGTGTCAGAGAGGGCTGCTTGTTCACACCTTTTTAGTTAGGGTATCTCAGGAGAGGATTCTGGATTACTGTTTGCAATCATGCTTTGCCTGATGCAATAATTGCCCCCTCTCTCTGTTTTGGCCTTGTTTCAGGAGAGTTCCTGTATTTCCCTGTGCAAGACAGCAGTGGTAGACACTTAAATCTTTATACCTTGGGCTTTAGTTCTGCTGATGAAGGAAATATGCCTACATTATTGTCATGGGAGCCTGGCTGAGTTTGTGCAGGAATGGAGCTGGCTTAACCTGGTTTGTGTCTTTTGCTCAAGCCCTCTCAGGGTTTGCTCCCAGAGCAGGTACCCAAGAGTGTCTCTGCTTTAGCTGAGGTTTTCTGGGATGCCAGTCTGCACCCTTCATCTTCCCTAGCAGCTGTGTGAGCAGATACCTCTGCACAGACCCTACCAAGAATCGGAGCTGTAGTTTGCACAGCCCATTAGTGAAGTTTATAAAGCACTTTTGAGATGTTTCTGGGTGAAGAGCTTTTCTGAAAATCACTTCAATAGTTTATTTGTAGAGCTGACCCACCACATCTCCTACAATTGCTGGGAGCCTCTGATTTTCAAGTGGGATATTTCCACCTGTAAGGACCATTTATCCCCAGTCTTCACCTCCCTGGGAAGAGTCTCAGCCCCTCTGCTCAGCCAGGGAGAAATTTGCTGTTTCATGACATGGAGCAATGTTCATGGGAGGGAGAGCCAGCGGGGAAGGGCACCAAGCAGCTTGGGGACACACATTCAAGCTGGAATTCATCCAGGCTCTTCTCAAAGGGGTTTTGTGAGGAAAACCAGAGCAGTGCTTAGCTTTTGGAGCCTGGAGGCAAGCTTTGGTCAGGGAGGAAAATGGGTTTAGTTGGCTCACCCTGCTCCCTGCTTGCCTATGTTGTTATGCCAGCCTGTGCCTTGGCGGGATGGATGGTCTCCCCTTGGCAGGGTGGGATTGCAGGGCAGGATGGAGGCAGAGCTGTGCAGATGCTCAGGAGCAGGTTGCAGGTCATCAGGAGATGCCATGGGCTACTGAGGGCTTTCCCCTCCTGTCCATCCCAGGCTGATGCCATGCCAAGTGCTGCTACAAAGGCAGAGCTACAGCTGGCTCAAAACTGGGCATACCACAGAGGGACGTTCTGGCATGGAGCATTGGGAACTGGCACTAGGGGAAAACCTTGTCTCTGCCACTCCTTCCTGGCCCACGCCTTTCAAACTGTGCTTTTTCCTTGCTATATTTCTGGAGGAAGAGGTACTAATGGTCCTGTGCTTGTTTTGGATGTACCCGGGCAGGGGCCGGGGCGAAGGCAGGAATGCCTGACACAGCAGAGCCAGCAGGCTGCCCTTCCACAGCAGCTGCAGCAGTGCTGGCGTGGGTGTCTCACAGAGAAATGCAGCCATTAAAATGCCTGCCATCCATCCCTGGCCGTGGGTGGCACCCACAAGGGCTGCTCCACCCATACAGCAGCCTAAAGGCTGCTCCTTCCTCTGTGAGCCCGAGACCAGCTCTAAAAGGAGAGGTTTTTGGTGGCATGTTAGAAACCCTTACCATGAGTGTGGAAATCTGGTTTTATGAAAAAGCTTTCCTGTTGCTGTGTTGAAAACCTCAGCATTCATTTGCAACAACTTTTAGCTAATGCAAAGAAATCACACTTCGTGAATTTGCCTTTGGAAGCATCATTTTTTAGCCTTGCTGCTGTCTTTCCCTGATGGTTTTGGTCAGTTTTCAGCCTGTAGAAGCGATGGAGGTTTTTCTTTGGGTTAGGAAAAGGCTTTCTGAAGGAGCTGGAGTTTGGGCTGAGCTCAGGTGTCCATCTCAGCACGGGGCTGGGATGGATGGGGCGTTGCAGGATCGTAGCCTGTCCGCCCTCGCTAGACACTGAGTCACCCATCCTTGCATTTTAAACAGGCGTCTCAGAAAGGGAGCAGTGGGAGGTGGCAGGGCACCATCCCCTGCACCCATCAGCCTGCTTTAGATCCGATCCAAGGTCACTTCCTTCCGAGACTGATGTTTTTGGCACTTGCTCTTTGCTTGCTCTCAAAGCTCAGGCTTTGCGCAGAAGCAAAGGTAGCAGTAATGATTTAATTAGTTTCCCTTTGATTTTTTTTTTTCCTTCTCTTCATCTTCAAAGGCAGGAAGAGAAAATCCAGCCCTCACGCACGTGCTGCTCAGCTGGACGCATGAGCTGGTGGGAGGGCAGCCCGGAGCCCAGGGGGACTTGCATCCACACAAGCGCTCCTTGTCAGCCCCGGTCCTTCCCCAAGAATGGAGGTCTTGTTCCTGCACAGATCCCCCCGTTCCCGAGGGAGGGAGGCAGGAAGCCCAGCAGAGCCTCCGTGCGTAACGGGCCCGTGTGCTCTGATGTTATTGTGCATCAGAACCTGAGGAGAGTTTGCAGCCAGGCAGGGCTCGGGGCGCTGAACCCCCCAGCTTTGCTGGAGCTCTGCAGGTTCAAAGGCGGCCGCTGGCGACAGTGACCTAATGGTTAAACCCGATTGCCCCATGGGCGTGTGGCTGATCTGGGCCAGCACCATCACCTGAGAGGCAACAGGATGTGAGCTGGAAAGGAGTCGCCCGTCCTGGAGAGCCGCCAGCACCCAGCCCTGAAACCTGCGGGAGCAGAGGAGATCTGGGAGGGGAGGGGAGGATCGGCTCCCAGCCGGCACAGGTCGTGCCAGGTATGGGAAAAAGGAACGGAAAAAAGCTAGAGAGGGAGAAAAAAGAGCAGGGAAGGTGCAGAAGGCGGGATAGCCGTAACAAAGCAGGTGAGCATGTGCTCTGGCAGAGCTGCGCGAAGCAACGCAGGAAATTTTCTGCTGAGGCGGTGGCTCGTCCCAGTTAAAGGTCTTGCCTTCAATGAGATCTGTCACATGTGCAGCTTTGCGACAGAGCCACGGCCGTGCTGCAGAGCTGAGATTTACAATGTCCCAAAGCCCGAGGGCGCCTGACGAGGAATCTAATTTAAGCCCATTAAACAGAAATTATCTTTCACAGCAGCATGTTGGAGAAGTGCAGAGGGAGGGCCTGGGCTTTTAAGACGATGGATTTCTGCTCCAGGAAAAAAAAAAAAAAAAAAAAAAAGGAAAGGGAAAAAAGTGCCTCCTCAATCATAAGAGCCAGTTTGGCAATTGCACGTAGTAATTAGCTTAATTCAAATACCTAGAGGGGAAAAAATAATTGCAAAACCTGCCCAGAGAGTTTGGTGGTTGTGGGATGGTTCCCATTGGCAAAGGGTCAAGGCAAGGTCCCACCCATCGCCTTTGTGTTCCCATGCGTGGGAGGAGCGCTCGGCAGCGCTTCCCGGGAGATTTCCCTCTCCACATGGCTACACCCTTGGCTTGGGCTCATTGCACAAGTATTTTAAGCACGCTGATAAAAGCCCAGCAGTCGCTGCCCGACATTACACGAACACCTGGCTGCCTGCTCTCTCTGGGAGCTGGGGATCATTTCCCCGTGGCTGCCCACGTTAAACATCACACTCCTGCTCTGCTTCTTCTTGCAAACAGGACAGCATTCTCGTCATCCTTCCCAGCCGTGTGGTGACAGCACCTCAGCTTGTGTCTTAGCGGAAAACTGATGCCAGCAGCTCAAATAATCATACTGATAGCAAAAAAATAATTGCAAACATCATTTCAGAGCTGGGCACAATTTTAATGAATACACTGCCAGCTTGCTGTTCCTCCCAGTGTTGGGGGCTAATGATTTGCTGGCTGGCCGGGTATTTTCTGCTCCTCTGAACATGACAGCTGTCCTGAACAAAGACTGCAGGACAAAAGAGCATCCTGGGGGTGTGTGGGACAGCCTTGTCTCCCAGGGGATGTCCTGGCCACCCGTCTGCACGTGGAAAAAACCTCACCTTTGCCAAACTGGAGGTGCTTCCCCATCCGCTGGGTTCCTGCTAAGGATGCAAATGTGAGAGCTGCTGGAGGGGGAACCGGCCCAGCAGGGCAAGGGCTCGCATATCCATCCAAATGGAAATATCCGCTCTTTCTGCAAAGGGGGGTGGGGAGTATCTCAAGGGGGTTCTGTCTTTATCTGTGGTTTTATTTATTTATTCTTAAAGACCTAGTTAGGCCTAACCCTCTCACTCCTGCTCAAGAGCTCTGTTTTTAGAGAATAAATGGCAGTAGTAGCTTGGGTGGAGCAGGGCCCACTCAGGTAATTAGGAGATTGGAAGAATCTGTGTGATTTGCTAGGAAGGCTCAAACATGACCCTAGAAATTACCTCTCCATCCCTAATCCCATGCAGTGGTTACCAGCCCTGCCAGGTGAGATATTCAGCAGCACCCTGTGGTGCCAAAGGCATCCCTGGACCCTGGTGAGCACCCACTTTGCCTTTTGGGCAGTGCTGTGATTGCCCAGACTGCTCAGGGAAGAGCTGAGCTGGCTCGTGGTGGAAACTGGTCCCTGTGCCTGCAGGAGTCCCTAACCAGAACAAACCCTAATTGGACTGCTATAAATTAATGCAAGAAATTATTTGAAGTGATTTGCTGCTACTGGAGGGGAGCAGCATCAGGGATGAAGGGGATCTTGTGTGCTCTTCTCTGCTTTTCCATGCCAGGACTTGCTCTCACCCTGTGTGTCTCTGCCATCTCTCCTAGGTGCCATGCTTGGGATCTGCGCATCAGTGCAGCCCCTGACCCGGACAGTGGGTCCAACCATTGGTGGAATTTTATATAAACAATTTGGAGTCTCTTCCTTTGGATATTTACAGTTAATGGTCAATTTAGGTTTGTTTGTTTTCCTCTTGAAGAGTAAAATCCCACTGGAAGAGATGAAAAGCCAATAAAACAGTTGCAAGAAAGTAACCCCCTTATCTTTCCCATAGAAACAAATTCCTGGGGTGTTTTTTTTTTTGTTGTTGTTGTTGTTCTGTAAATCTAGAAAAAAACAATTTGAACAATCCTTCCATTTTGTCAATATTTGCCTCTAGAGTAAGGGACAGATCAGTTTGCAGAGGTCTTGGAGCCATGCTGGAGCAACTGGGGGCCATGGGACCCCTGGAGCTATCAGGTTCCTCCCATTAACCCCCCTCAGCAGTGGCTGTCAGGGCAGGAAACAGCCCCCAACCTCAGCTGTTGTCAGGCAGCATTCCTGCTTGGATTCACTGAAACTGAAGGGATTAGGAGCCAGTGCCTTTGCTCTGGTTTGGCCTTTTATTTCAGTGCTCTGAAATGGTACTAAGAAAAAACAAGGGGTAAAACACATCTGCTTTTGAGCATTGTTTTGCTGCATTAAATGCATCTCCAGCATTCTCAGGTTAGAGGGGGCACTGAGGCTTTCAAGGCTGTGGCCAGAGGTTTGCTACATCCACAGCTCAGGCATGTGCAACCCTGCCTGTGCACGAGCTGCCAGCAACGAGGGACGAGGATGCAAAGCCCCGACGTACCAGGCAGCAGTGCCAGAGCCTCCCTGCCACTTCGAGAAACTGGGCCAACCCTCCTTCCAGGTTTTTCCCCTCCCTGTACTGAGTATCTCTTGCTCTTACTACAGCCTTACGTAATTACACACTTTGCAACTTCTTCTAGTACAAAGTCTCCTGCAAGAATTGCGCTGGTAATGGGAAGGGGAAATTACCTGCTGGAAGTGACCAAGTTTGGAGCAAGTACTTTGTGGGCTATGCTCACAGTCCTGACTGCCAGAATGGAGTTGTGTGCTCCAGCATTGCTCTCGAGGAAGCCCAGGTCAGCTATTGAGAATTGAGCCTCACAAAAAAACCCTCAGCACTTTTATCCAAAAATCAGGTAATTTTTCTCCAAGTTTCTTGGTCCGGGTGCTATGGGAAAAAAGCCTGCCTCCATTCTTCAGTTATCCTGGAGAAATTTAACTCTGCCTAGAGACTGCAGAGGTGAAGGAAGAGAGGAGAGCGAGTTCAGCTTGCTTTGCTACAAAGCTGAGGAATCCATGGAGCGTTGGCGCTCTCATTCCCAAACCAGGAATCCAGTTTTGTGCATTAGCACAGCGCTGAGCAATGGGGGCTGGGGAGGGCACAGGGCATTCACAGAGAGCAGCATTTTCCTGTGGCAGGGAGCGCAGGGAGCTCCTGCGCCTTCTGCAGCTGCCATTACTGGATTCTGTGGGAAAGAGCTTCCAGAGAAGACCTTCTGCAAGCTGTGGTAGGCTTTTCTATCTCCACCACTGACCAGAACTGAACCTCAACACATTCTCCCTCCCTGGCTGGGAGAAAAGGTCAAACACAAATGGGTTAGCTGGGCTTTCTCCACCTCCCACTGCCCAGTCCAGGGCACCACAAACCAAGCCTTACCCACTCTTCTTAAGCCACTTGACCACTGCCTGTATCCACAGATATGCCTCAACAAAAGTTACTGCAGCCCAGAGTACGGTAATAAAAAGTGAACATTTCAAGTAATTTATTTGGAATGGACACATTAATGCAAAAGCAATATTAAGACCAGTAACTGCTGAAAGACATTCAACAAAATAAATACAAATATAGATACTACAAATAATTTAAATTGTGTTTAACACCACCAGTCAGTGTTGAATCTTCCTTGCATCTCATAAATAGAAGATAATAGTTCACAAAGCTGTGCCACTCAAAACACGTGGACGCTTTGCTAGAAGTCCTGTATGAAAGTCTTTGGTTTTTCTTTATTCATCTCAGGCAAAGCTCAGGGCTCTTTGCTCAGCGGCCACAACGGGCTTGGAGAAAACCAAGCTGCTTCCAGCTCTCTTCTTTGCTTTCCTTCATTGGTACCCTGTCCCATTTCAGTCCAAGACACTCGATCTGGTTTATCATCCAGTGGTATGCTCTGAAGGTAGCAAGAGAAGTGGGTTAGTAAAACAAGCAGCACAACAAGGCAAAGGAAAAAAAAATAATGGGGGGCTTTAAAGGGAGAGTAAGCATTGAGCATTTATTTTCACAGATTTTTTTTTAGCAGATTCTGTGAGGAGAGCACGGCCAAGTGCCATTATTTATTGCCCGCCACCCCCACACCGTTCTCTCGGCACACTGCACAAGCGCGGCTCCCACCAGAAATTCCCCGCCATGCATCGGAGAAGGGGCCAGAGCCCCGCGATGGCTCGGGACAGGATGGCTCGGGACAGGGCCAGACCGCCGCGATGGCTCGGGACAGGCCGTGTCCCGCAAGCCCCGGGCTGGCAGCACGGCGCGGTTCGGGGTGCGCCCGGCCAGGAGGGAGCGCGGAGCCCGTCGGGCTGCGCGAAGCGGGCGCCGGGGAGTGAATAATTGTAAAGGATCGAGCGGAAAGCGCACGGAGAGCGGCGGCAGCAGCGCCGAGGGGCCGGGCGGGCTCACCTGGGGCCGGGCCGGGCGGGCGGGCGGGCGGCTCAGGGCGCCCGGGCCAGCCGCCGCTCCTGGGTGCCCGCCGCCTGCTCCATCTCCTGGCGGCTCTTGAAGTCCTGGATGGCCCGCTTGTTCTGGAAGTCGATGAGGGCCATGGTGATGGAGGCGTTCCAGCAGCTCTGGTCCGGACACCGAAAATCAATCTCCTTGCGGTCTTTGGTGACGATGGTGAAGTAGATGTACTTGCCCGTGCGCTCCACGCAGTCCACCTTGAGGATGGAGCCGAAGCCCAGCTCCTTGCCCTTGGCCCGCTTGTGCCCGTCGGGGAATAGACTGAGGCTGTCCTTGGTCAGCACCACCAGCTTCTTCTTCCATAGCTGGAAAAGGCTGTCACTCCGCTTCTCCAGCTCGCCCTCGCGGATCACCTCGGCTTGCATCTTCATCCTCGCTCCCCGGCGGTGGCTCCGGCTGCTGCTCCCACTGCTGCTCGGACGGCAATGACCGAGCCACGCCGCGATGGGAACAATTTATTGCAATGAATCAGCGCCGGGCGCCTTCCGGTGCCTCCCCCGGGGAGCCCGGCCCGCCGCCCCCTCCCGCCCCGCCTCCCGCCCGCCCCCCGGGCCGCGCTCCCCGCCCGGCCGCCCCTGCCCGGGGCCTGCGCCATGAGGGCGGCCCCGGCACACAGCCGGGGGGTCCTGGAGGCTGCCCCGGCCCACAATCGGGGGGTCCTGGAGGCTGCCCCGGGTGGATGGGCAGGCTGCGGGGAGGGGGTGCCTGCCCCACGGGCTGCCTCGCCGGGGGCTTCCACTCTGCTGTGCTGCTGCTGCTGCTGCCGAATGAAGGGATCCCAGTCCTGCCTGCCCACTGCCCTCCCCACCCGTGTTTCCTCTGCCCGCGGTGAGGAGGGGGCCACTGTGATCTGAGACAGCCCCATCTTGCCCCTCTGAGCACTCCCTGCCACTTCCCAGATCCCTAATGGGGTACAGGAGGCTCCCAACACTTTTCTTAGGGGCCTGGGTTTGGGCATCACAGCATCGGATCTGCCCTGGCATCATCTCTCTCTGGGCAGAGGGGCCTGAGCCAAGCTCAGGGTGGTTTCTGCCATCTCCCATGGACATCTGCTCTGAGTCCAGCCCCTGCTCACCCCCCCAAGAGACTCAGTCAGGGCCTGACTAAGCCCACCAGCTTCATTTGAGGCCCTGCATCCCACCAGCTCTGCCCCATCACCATCAGCCCTTCCTTTGTCCTTTCCTGAGGGCAGCCCACCTCTCCAGTTTCCATTAATACAGCTTCTCCTTATTTTTATCCCCTGCAATCACTGGGCTGATCCCATTTTCTCCCCCTCAGCCCATTCCCTCCTCCAGGGAAGGCCCCACAGTTCCAGCCTGGGCAGCGCCCAGCACCATGGGGAAGTCAGGAAAGGCTGTGGCAGCTGGAGGTGATATTTAAGAGGCACGTGTGAGGCTGCAGTCCCTTCCTCTTGGACACCTTTCATTTTGTCACTCCTTCACGATAGTTGGCACAGGGCTGATCCAGCTTCCAGCCGAGGGCAGGGCTGTGCTTAACGAGCTGGTTCTCGCTGTTTCTCCAGCAGCATTGGCTCAGGTATGTACCTGGTGCAGCATCACCTTCGGACTCTGAGCGCTGCTCTCCACCGCCCTGCCCGGCCGGCCGGCACCCACAGAGGTGCTGGCAGGCCGATCCCAGCGGTGAGCTCGCAGGGCAGCGCCCGGCCCCTTTGAAGGGCTGGCAGCGCTCCCAGGGAGCCGGCAGGGTCAGAGGCCCATTCACGGAGCAGATCGGAGCTGGAGCCAAACCCATTTCCGCTGCAAATCACCCGTCTGCCAGATTCCAGGGCCGCGCTTTGATAGTGCGCTGCGGCGTGCACATCTGGGGGGAGGCTCCCAAAAACGCTGGGGGCTGTGTGATGCTGCTGGGCTTGATGAATGAGCCAGGAAGGGCTTGGCTGAGCTTTTCAGGGAGGGATGGGCTGGGAATTGCTCTGGGAAGACCACGGTGGCCATCCCTGCTTGTGGGGTAGGGCAGAGGCTGTATAACATATGTGCAACTGTGACCTGGCATGTGAAGAGCTGCGGGCTTTTCCCTGAGAGCCAGTACTGTATCCTGCTTTTCAGTGTGATTTATTTTGTTTTAGTGAGGGGAACAGCCCAGACTGATTTACAATTAGGTTGTACAACTACATTTTCAGGGTAGATGCTGGTCTGCTCAGTAAAACCACTTTCTGACCAAAAGGCCCCATAAAAACAAGGGAGCTGGAGCCAACCAGGAGCAGAGCTGGATATTAAGCAGAAATCAATAGGATATTTTCAATTTGGCCCCAAAATGAAACAGGGAATGGTCTTTGTGCACAGGAAATGGGACACCACTTCAAAAAGAGAAAAAAAATAAAACAGGCAGCAAGTCAGGAACATACAAGGAACATCTGGAGGAAGGCTTCTGGTGTGAAAAGGCTACAGGACTTGGCATGTTTGTGCACACCTTGCTTCAAAAGTTCCACT